TTTTCGATTACATATCGTGAAAGCTTGATACTTTCCCTACAAAATCGTTTTTTTTTAATATTCCTACGACTTTTGATTACTGAGTTATCGCGGATTAAATAAAAGAATTATTTTGACTTTAATTGCTCATAACTCCATTAAAAATTGTCGTATCGTATAATTTAAAAAAGAGATTTTTAAAGCTGAAACTTTACTCTATCAAGATATATTTATATTTTTGGTAAGAAAGTAATTGCGATTTTTACTGATAGATGTCTTTTAAAAATACGCGATGACTTTTTACTACACCTAATAAGAAAAAGAATAATTATAGAATATGTTAATTTAACGATGAGAAAAGATAATTATTTTCGACAATGTCCATGAAACATCTTTAACTTTACAATATAAGTGCTGTTTTGAAATAATGATCATTTCTGATTCTGAATTATATGTGTTCGTTTTAATTAAATACAACTCATTAAGAGATGTTACTCGACACCGACGAGATACTATTATAACGTCCACACACGCATCATTTGAAACTTATTACTACAACATTATTTACTCTTTTAATAAAATACTCTAAACAAGATGGTAAAAGAACTTTTACCTTTTCTCTATAATCGCTAGTTTTATCCCATACTTTTTACATTATTTACATATGTATGTACACAAACTTGTATACTAACTGTCTACTTCATCGCCACGTTTAAATGCAACAAAATGCAGCGCCATATTCAATCATATACTGTCATATAAGAGGTCTGTTCTTTTTTCACTCTAAAGTTCTGAATAGGTCTGTTTTTTATTATTGCACTTTCTGAACTGATACACTGCAGTGCATTAATTCGCTGGGTTATAGGCCGGTATTCATAGTCAGATCTTATATTTAAGATCATCTTAAGTTTAGTTTTGAGATGCCATGAATTAATCAGAGAGCCGCATTAGCGTCTTAAGACGTTACTTAAGACAGTCTTGAAATAAGGACCGATTATAAATACCGCCCATAGCAGGTCATAGTAATGGCCCGACTCATCGACGTTTAATTTTTACTCAAATACTATCAACTTTACAGAAAAGCAAGAGACAAAAATTATTTATTTTCTTCTTATAAAACTCGAAGAATTTTTTCAAAATTTTTCATCAACTTTAGTATTGCATTTTCTTATTTTCGTTATAAGTTGGACCGCTATTTATGGCCCAGCGAATTAATGCGCTGTATATACAAGGTTTATTCTTTTTAGCTGAACTTTTGCACTAGTTCATCTTTCTTCCTCTTCTTTTCTCTTTTCTCTCCAGAAAGAAAGAAGAGGAAGAATTGGTTGTGAACAAAAGTTCAGCCACCGATAAGATATTATGGCTGCGGTCGATTTACACGCTTTCAGCGCTTTTTCAGTACTTACTTCTGTTCTTATTTTACGTCTAATAAACGAAAAAGGTGGACCATACCACCGACGAGATACTATTAAAGACCGATATCATTACGGGAGTTCGCGTCCTTGTGAATATTGAAGTAATTAAGAGTTAAAAACTGATAATATTGTACTAATTTTATGATTTATTAATTTAGTAGACGTATTTATGCATTTAGAACTCAATAATACTCGGTTTATCTTTAAAATTGTGATTTCAGTGTTATCGTCAAAGTTTTATTATCAACAAAGATGATAACTGCAGAGAAAAAATTGTAATTTTTTTGCAATATATAAGATATTATAGCTTTACAAGTACGTGCATATTTATTTATGGATTATTTACGTAATAAAAAAATCATAAATTTAATAATGTATGAGTCAAATATTTATGTTAATAATAGCAAATTTATATTAATTGTCGATAATGTCAGCGTTCTGCAATTACCTCCGGGCCCTTGGGGCTCTTTTTATACCGTCGAAAATTTTTCAGGGTCGACGATCTTGAATAATATCTCGTCGGTGACCGCACCCAAAGACAGAATAATGATTACAAGCGCTTAAAGCGCGTGAGCATTCGAATCGACCGCAGCCTATTAAATATCAACATCCTTACGGGGGTTTGCGTCCTTGTGAATATTGACGTTGGAAAAATCTGAATTTCTGAACGTCGATGCTGAAACTAACATAACGTCACAAAATCGCGCGTCTTTGGCGCGCATCAACTTACACTCATGAAAATGCATCTTTATGCGTGCAAGGGAATCAAGGGAATTGAACGGAACGCACCTGTACGCTCATGTGTTGCACTATTGCGCATGTGTAAAAGAATCCGGTGTAACATGGCGGTTAATGGTGATGCCGTACACATCGGTGTTTGATGCGATGCGTTGAATTGCTTTTGATGTGTCGATAATAACCGTGACTGGCCAGCAAAGTGATCATCAGCAATCATATATACAAGCGAATCGTACAATCCGTGCTCAACGTGAACATTTAACGTAAGTACTACGCGATCCGCAAAGATTCAAGAGGAGGACCGTAAACTGTGCGTGTAGTAACTGTGATAAGTAAGATGTCCAAGCCGGATGAGAACGCGGATACCGGTGACACCGGGGACAACTCGAACGGGTCCTCGGCAGAAACCACATCGTCCAGGGGCGGTGATTTTGAGACGAAGCTCGAGACAGATCGTAGCAAGCGATTCGATTACTTGCTAAAACAGACTGAGATTTTCTCACACTTTATGACGAACAATCAAAAGGATAAGGCTGGTAGCCCTTTGAAAGTTAAAGCTGGTAGGCCCAGGAAACAGCCGGAGATCCCTAAATTAGACTCAGGCGATCACAGACATCGTAAAACCGAGCAAGAGGAGGACGAGGAGTTGCTGGCAGAGAGTAATGCTAACGTGGCGCCTACCACGCGCTTTGAATCATCCCCTCATTACATAAAATCCGGTGAGTTGCGTGACTATCAGATACGCGGCTTAAATTGGATGATATCGCTCTACGAGCATGGTATAAATGGTATTTTGGCTGACGAGATGGGTCTTGGTAAGACACTACAGACTATCTCCCTGCTGGGATACATGAAGCACTTTCGTAACATCCCTGGACCTCATATTGTTATTGTACCGAAATCAACGTTGGCCAATTGGATGAATGAATTTAAGAAGTGGTGCCCTACTCTCAGAGCCGTTTGCTTGATTGGAGATGCAGAGACTAGGAATACTTTTATAAGAGACGTGATGATGCCTGGAGAATGGGATGTGTGTGTAACGTCTTATGAGATGGTGATTAAGGAGAAATCTGTATTTAAAAAGTTCAACTGGCGCTACATGGTGATAGATGAGGCTCACAGGATAAAAAATGAGAAGTCTAAATTATCAGAGATCCTCAGAGAATTTAAGACCACCAATCGACTTCTTTTGACAGGCACACCACTTCAAAATAATCTCCACGAGCTGTGGTCTCTGCTGAATTTCCTTCTACCAGATGTATTCAATAGCTCTGATGACTTTGATTCATGGTTTAACACAAATAGCTTTTTAGGTGACAATTCTTTAGTCGAGAGGTTACATGCAGTTCTGAGACCATTCCTTCTGAGAAGATTGAAGTCCGAGGTAGAAAAGGGACTTAAGCCGAAGAAAGAGATTAAGGTATACATCGGCTTGAGTAAAATGCAAAGAGAATGGTATACCAAAGTATTGATGAAGGACATAGATATAGTAAACGGTGCAGGAAAGATCGAGAAGATGAGACTGCAAAACATTCTCATGCAGTTACGGAAGTGCTGTAATCATCCATACTTGTTTGACGGTGCTGAACCTGGACCGCCATACACTACTGACGAGCATCTCGTCTACAACTGTGGTAAAATGGTGATACTCGATAAATTATTGCCGAAATTGCAACAGCAAGAATCTCGAGTTTTGATTTTCAGTCAGATGACAAGGATGCTGGATATTCTAGAAGACTATTGC